AGAAATGTGGCTCCCGGGTGTGATATTCCGAACGTAATGAGCAGGGAAAACAAAAGGCGAAAAAGCTACCACAAAATGGTCAAATCGGAAAAGCAGACTTGGCTCAGCTGAGGGAAAATGCGATTCCAGGAACATTTAAAGGGAATATTGATGATGAGGCTGGGAGATTTGGAAGCATGCCCAGCGGGGCCAAGAAAACTCTGCCGACCTGCAATGTTGGCCAGAGTTTATTACTGCACTTTCTTTCCCCCTTTTTTTTGCCCATCAACTGTGTACTTTCTTTCTTTTCTTCTCGACCTGTCCCTTTCAACCACACGCATATACAGGTAATTAAGAATTATGGTCGTGGGCGTCGAGGCCGAACAGAACTTATTAATTTCTGCATTATTTAAGCGTGTAATTTATGTGTTCAGCTGGCATTTTTAATTGCATTACACGGCGGTAGGTTAATGCATGTTAAATGCATAATGAGCACCGCAAGCCGATAGGAAGAGCACAAGTGTCACACGAGGTGACGTTGCATGGCGTTTGTTTTATTAATTGAAGTTTAATCAGCGACAGCTGCCACAAGTCACGTTCCATATTCCAATTTCCCAACTCCCTCGAAAAGGTCAAATCCACTCCCGGGAGTTTTAAAGCCACTTTAACTGCTGCTCATAACCATTCCGAACTAACTTGAACTATCTCAAATCTTGGTTCTTAGATCCAACGACCTTTAGTTGAGTGCACCTTCTTTTCGATTTTTTTTATGTTGGCACCTCTAGTTTTACACAAATTATTTCCGATAACATCTTGAGAGTCTTGCCGTCCTTTCCTTTCTTTTCCAACCTTTTAATAATTTCATTTAGCGCGAAATTGTCTTTAGCCAAATTGAATTAAGCCACCACCATTCCTTGGCCGCCAAAAAGGCAACTTCATCGTTTTTATAGAGTCTTTAGCTGCACTGGAAAAAAGTGTTGTAAAATCTGCGATTTTGTTGTGATATTTAAAAAATATTCTTTTGAAACCAATGTTTTTTTTATCCAATTTCACAAACTTTTTTTCCGAAGACATTTTTTTATTGTCTTGTTCTAGTTTTCATCATCACCAGAATACCATTATTTTTATCTTAAGTGCATTTTGGTCCGCTTAACCCAAACTTAAAGGTTGCCACTTGACTTGGCCTAATGGCGCTCAAGATGCTTCAAGGACTTGCCCGCAAAGTGGACTTTGTTAAGGGGAATGGTACCTGATTGGAAGTGGAATTCGAAAGTGGTACAGACTGTTCCCAAAAACATTTGACCACGTAAAGCAATTTGCCAACTGCATCGATGTTAGCTTAAAAGCCTTGTCAAAAACAAAAAAAATGAAGGGAAAAGTAGGAAAAATCAGAAAACCAAACTCTTTGGCATTTCGAGGGGTTGGTGGAGAATGGCAAAGAGCAAGGACAAATAAAATGCAAATGTAAATAAGTAAATAAAATACACACAGTTGACATTTTGTGTACAGGGGCGGGCTAAAAGTGTGAAGAGACCTTCAAGGGGGCGTGAATTGTTTGGCCAAATTCATTGGGCCAAAAAGCATTGGCTTTCCCATTCGCACTCAGGCATTTTTAGCCTCATTTCTGTTACAGTTCTCGTTTTATATATATTTTTAGCCATAGGTGAGCAACAGTTGCGGCAGGGAAACTGCAAACTTTTCCTTCTGTTTCGTTAGGCAGCCTGACACTCTGACGCGCGCCACCTAGTGACCAAAACTCGCAACTTTGATATTCTTTTGGCCATTATTCTATTTGCAATTTTGCGCAAAACAACGGCAAATAAATAAGCAAATTGAAAAAATGTGAAACGAAATAATGCCAACAAACTGGAAAACTGCAAACTGTCAGGGGAGTGGAAACGGTGGAAATGGAAAGCAGGGGCAAATGGAAGTTGAGGCTGAGGCAGCTACCATTTTGGCTCATGGCAATTTCCGTTGAGTGCACATGACAAAAATGTGGAATGTGCATAAAAAGTGGCAGAAGAAAAGGTGGGGTAAGGGGGTGGCAGGGGGGAATTCCTTCAGCAAACTGGCAAAAAGTTAAAAGTTTAATTGTGCGCAACTTTGGGCAGGATGTGATGTCAACCCTGGCAACCGGGTCCAAAGGACATCTGTGACAAGTTCTATTAAGTTTATTTTATATATGTTCTCACATTTTGCATTTAAACAAAGCAGAAACGTGCTGCCACAAACTTGTTGGTGCAGTTAGTGTAGTCAGGGGGGCAAGTAGGTGGTTTCTGGAAGGATTCTGGGGACCAGGGGTCACTCGATTGCATCGCACACACTTTTATATGGCAGGTTGCGCACACTTGACTGCTCGATGGCCCCAGAAGTCCGCCACTTTGCATCAGTTTCAGGACTCTTGGGCAGCACTCGTTCCCCAACCTTAAAAATAAATCCCAAAAATTTTACTGCTCAGTTAAACACTGGAAAAAGTATACTTTCCGAGTCCTTGAATGTAATACTATTGGTTAATGGTCGCTAGACCTTCCATTAAATTATAACCAGAAAATAAAAGTGATCTCTATAATTTTTAATAGTACTGCTTAACTAATTTAAAATCATGGAGATCTCTCTGCTAACTAATACGCCTTTCTCCTGCCATTTTAAGATGCAACTTCAATCAAAATCAGATTTTTTCCGCAGTGAAGCTGTGGGGAATTGGCTTCCTGGCTCATAAAACGTTTAAATGAAAGAAAAGCAATATGTTGCCGCCTGCAGATGACAAGCAAACATCGTGGCCAGGATGCATCGTTCAGGGATCGGGTTCCCCTAGCTGCCCCGGCTTGAGGTCTCTGTAAAATATTTACCAACCATCAGCCGCTGTCATACTTTTTTAATTGACTTATCAATAATTCATGCAGCTCACACACACAGAGAGACACACGTGAAGGACCAAAAGAAGTGGGAGGACCTGAGCTGAGAATGAATACTCATAAATACAAATGAAGTCAGATTGCAGTGTGAATGAAAACGACAGAGAGTGAGAGCAAAGGAGATTGAGAGGTAGGACTAGGGGTAAAGGTAGCGCTACGGAAAAGGTGGATTGCATTTACAACTCTTTTTCCAGGTTCAGGTCAACGACTCTCAACCCCATGCCATCTTTACTTTTTATCCTTTCGCATGCAGCAAGATTGCCTTCGTTTACTTTTCGGCCTGATATTTATTTTGATTAATTTAAGTCTCCTAGTCAGTAATATTTTTCATTTTCATGTGCAGCTTTATCATCCTTCGTCCTGGATCTTTCTCGCCTTTTTTATTACGGACAAAAATTACAGGGAAGGGGGGTGAAATGCAAGTGGGGCCAAGTGATTGATGCATTTTTAATGCGAATTTCCGTAGGAGAATTGCAGCAGTAGGGCGGCCAAAACTTCTTTAGATGTAAAGAATATCTGTTAGTTTCGAAATAAATTCTGGTTTAAATATGGTTTGTTATAAGATTAGGTTAAGCCTAAGGTATTTGCTATTTCGATATGAAAAGAAGTATTTATAAAAAAATATATAAGGATATATGTTCCTATTGCAAGATTCTTTTTGATGAACATTAAAAATAGATAAATGCATTTTCTACTATCTTGCCACGTTAAGTTAGGGAACTTTTCGTTTTCCATTAACCTTTAGCAACTATTCACCAACCTGTGCGATAAAGGACTTCAATAAATTTGCCAAAATCACGCGCACATAAAAATCCATAATCGTAGTGGAAATGGGAAAAGTAAAAGCGAAGTAAGAACATTTTTTTGTTTTTATCCAGGATGAAATCAAATTTAACGCATCGCTAGGTAGTAGTGGCAGTGGACCCCCCCATTTCAAAACCCCAACCCAAGCCCCCCTCCAACGACGCCCTTTGTATGCGTGTAAGGCCACGTACCCACTTGACATGAAGGCAGTGCAGCGAGGCGAATGAAGGAGGGTGGGACTGGGTTTTGGGTGGTTGGGTGGTTCGGTGGGGGGCTGGTGGGTTGGTGGGTTGGGTGGCTGGGCACGTGCCGCGCGGATTACGCGTGGCATGCTGCTGCGAAGAAATATGAAAGGAAAGCAGCGTGAAATATGTGTAGCATAAGACAAGGCGCATAATCAAAATGTAAGCAACAACAAAACATAGCAGCAGCAGTAGCAGTAGCACCACCATATTGGATGCACATGCCACTTACACAAGTGCAAAGGCGTCGCACCACCCTCCTCTCACCCCCCCCCCCCCCCCCCTTATTTGCAGGCTTCATAAAGCAGCAGGCTATCCCCCCTTTTTGGCCAAAAACAAAGGGCGCCGAACAAAAATCTTACGCCCGATCTGCCAGTTGATGTAGCGCACCATTATTTCAGGGGATTTTAAAAGGAGGTGGTGCTTGTATATTGCACCAGCACTCCACATATCGATCATACTTTCTATTGCAACTCGAAATCGGGCGAAAGTCTTAAAATTAATCAAATGAAAGCGAGTGAATGAAAGGGATTTCTATACAGCACATGTGCTGCAATTTATGAACATTGAAAGGATTTTTAATTTCTGCTCAACCAAACATTCTTATAGATGAAAACCAGTTTGTTTAAAGAATAGGGGATTTTACTCAGTGTTCTAGGTTATAGGGAGAGGAAGTCATTTAATTTCTTTAAATCTTGTACATTTAAGTCCGAACGTTCAGAATCTCACATTTGCATTTCTTTAAAACCCAATCTCCCCCAAGATAATCCCCAGTATAATTTGCATGGACCTTGCCTATGTACATAAATGCTAATTCTAGCCCAAATTCTAGTACTCCACTTAGAGTTTCAGCTGTCCCGAAAAAGTTTGAGCGACTTTCCGCCAATTCATGCAATATTTCAGTATGCAGGATTACGTATTCCCAGAGCTGTCACTTTTGTCGCATTTCGCTGCTTTGGGGCCAACTCTTTTTCGGATTCGTTTTCCAAGTTCTTTTACTTTTATTCGGTATACATTTTGTATATACATTTCGGTTAGAGAAATGGAAGCTGTCACTCACCTCTTCCTCGTTGCTGGCCGTGTTCACGGAGTCCATGCTCTGCGATAGTCCCAGCGGGGTCAGAGTCATCTGATTCTCCATTATGGCGTTGCTGTTGCTGCTGTCCCGGCTGCTGTTGCTGTTGTTCAGGTTGTTGTTGCTGTCGCTAACGGCCGATGTTGCTGGTGTGCCAGTTGCCGATGTGGTTGTTGTCACTGTTGTGGGGGCGGCGCTGGTGACGCTGCCTGCCGGCGAGGGCGTGGTCGGCGCGGAGGCGGTCGCGGAGTTGGACTCGTGCGAATGCGATTCGTGGGCGGGACTGTCCGGCAAACTGCCGCCGCTGGTCGGGACCGCAGCAACGGATGTTGCTACTGTCGCAGCCGCTGATGTTGCTACTGTACTGCAGTTGGTGTTGCTGTTGCTGTTGTGCTTGCTGCTGCTGCTATTGCTGGTGGTGCTCAGAAGGATATGTTGCTGTTGCTGCTGCTGGGGAGCGTATCTGTGCAGCTGATAGCCGCCGTAGTGGGCCAGAGATTGCTGCTGGGCCTGCTGCTGCTGCTGGTGTTGCTGTTGCAAGTGTTGGTTCAGCAGAGCTGCTGCTGCCGCCTGGTTGAACTGGGCCAATCGCTGTTGCTGCTGCTGTTGCTGCAACTGCGGTGAGGCGGCAACGGCGTAGGCAACCTGTTGCTGCTGTTGCTGTTGCACCTGCTGCTGGTGGGCCTGCTGCTGTTGCTGCTGCTGCTGCTGTTGGTGGTGGGCGGCAACGGCGGCCGCGAACTGCGTGGGATGGGCGAAGCTCAGCTGGTGGTGGTGCGGATGCGAATGCGAGATCGGATGCGTATGGGAGATCTGATGGGTGTGGGCGATCTGGTGGGCGTGCGAGATCGGGTGACCTTTGACCGAGACGGAGACGGGCACGGGCACGGAGACGGGCAGCGGCACAGAGACCGGAACGGGCACGGGAACGGTCACCGGCAGCACGGAGACGGCGGCGGCACACTGGCGCTTGGGCGACGGCGACAACACCTGTGGGGCACTTGCTGGCGTCTGCGGCAGCGTCGGCCTGCGTTTTATCGCAATCGACGAAATGGTGATGGCTTTTTCAAACACCGCCTGCTGGTTGTTGTTGTTCTGGTTGGCGCTGCTGATCTGATTGATCGTGCTAATCGAATTGATGGGTAGATTGTTATTTTGGATTGGATGACCCGCTGGTGTCGTCGGCCCCGCGGGCAACAGTTGCAGTTGCTGTTGCAGTTGCAGTTGCACTGGCGGTTGGTCGGCGGCTGTTGCAGCGGCGGCGGCGGTGGCGGCTATGAGCAGTTGATGATGGCTGCCCAACAGGTCCTGGTAGTTGGCTATTTTGACGAATCAGTGTAACTGCAAAGATACAAGAACGAGGGGAAATCGATAAGTATGCTTTCACATTATTTTCAGCGTTCATATACATAAATTTCCTTTTTGTTTTTAAGCTAATTATTTGCATGCATGATTGTGCACTAAGTTAAAATGAATTTAAATGAGTGTTAGAATAAATTCACAAAAATATGTAACCCTTCATTTACAGAAGAGCTAGAATCGTAGCTATGAAAACAAGTCAAATATTTAACCATCATATATGCAAATAATATTTCGATATTGTCGAAATACTTTCGGGTTTATTTAACATAATGCAAATGTTTACACGAGAGGAAATGGCTGGCAAGAAGGTCTTGAACAACACTGCATAAATCAAAAGCAAATAAGACGACAAATGTGTTCGATGTAGAATGAGAGGAAAAAGCGGGTGACAAACATTAATATCCAAAATGTACTGAGAATTACAAATAAGGAATCATTCTCTAATAAATCAAATTTATTAAGCTGGTAGTTCAGAAATGGCAATTAACTAAAAGTTAAAATCTAAAAAAAGCTACTTCGATCCCAAAGCAAGTTCATTGAGCAGATGTTTGTCTGTTCAATCTGCATTTCAGATTGCGTACGTGGGCAAATATGCAAAGAATGCAAATACAGTGGGTCAGATTCTGAGAACACAGACCGCTCTTGTTGTTTCTTGCAGTGTATCACACACTCACTTATTCTTATCGTAGTGAGACATCAGTAGCAACGGCAACAACAACAAGGCCAGCTGGTGGCAACTCCATTGCGTAGTTGGGTTTTGGTTAGGAAAAAAATTTAAATACACAGAGGCAACGGCAGCAAAATGGGAATAACAGCAACCGCAAGGCAAACAAACAAACAAAAACCCAAATACACTGGGTAGACTATCCAGAACTCACTTGAGGGAGAGCTGGAGAGCTGAAACAACTTGAAAATTGAGCTGACAACAAACCGAAATTGTATTACAAACGCTCGCTTGAGCTGGCAAAAATATGCACATAACTAAAGTTCAGATCTCGAAGATATGTTTGGGGATCAATGTGTGCATATGGATGTGGATGTGAGTTTGTGTGTAAATATATGCGGGACCGAACACAAACAGGGCTTTGAATGGGATTATAATGGAGCAAGGACAAAATCGAACGCCCCCCTTTCCAATTCACCTCGACGCCTGTGAATTGTATCTGACGAATGTATCTATGCAGCTAACTTTTGATTATTTCAGATATTATGCATAAGACAAAATATGCTAACGATAAAGATAACTTTCCGACAACCAAGATTCATCAACTTTGAGGAAGAAGACCTAATACGAATTTAATTTGACCCCCACCAATCAGCAGACAAACGATGATTTGGGAATGGCAGCACCACTAATCCTGTGTGATTAATAATTGATCAGAAAATAACCACTCCAACCACACTATGAATATATTATAGACAATGGAACTCAAATATGTGTGTGGGTAGGTGAGCTTAAAAGTGTGTTTCGATATCGAGTGGCGTGAGATTTATGGCCAAAAATTGCGGACACAGTGCGATTAATGAGCGGCCAAACGGCGTATGCGCAATGGCCAGAAAACATGGGAAATATATCACATACACTTATAATATTTACCATTTATGGTCTCCAATACTTTGTTGCACCAATGATATAAATGAAATTGATTTCCGTAAGGGCAATTAATTTATTTTCGGAGCTGGAGCTGACAAAAACAACTTGTTGCCGTAATTCGTCTGATCAGATAATGAGATACCAGGGTGTATAATAGAATTGAATTTTTCTCAAAAGAGCTGGGCTTTGATTTAGAATTCTCTCTCTATCTTTCTCTCTGTGAAATCTGAATTCTCAATGCACTTTTGCAGCAATAAATAAGTGACTAACACTCACAGGGTATTGTTTACATAAGCAGCAACAATAACGCTACGAATTCTAACAAAATACAATGGAAAAAGGTGGGGAAAATCGGAAAAAGGTAAGGGGCGTGTTTGAATAGAAGCCAGAGAGTAACAATAATGACGCTGACTATCTACCATTTGTTGTTGTTTTCTGTTGTTTTTTGCTGCTGTGTGTCTGTCTATTCCAATGCCATGGAAATTAGTCGGTAGAAATGTGAAAAAAAATATGTGTGTACAGAAAAGGTCGGAGGAGAAAAAGCACGAAACAGCGAGTCATAAATATTGCTAATGAATTTCCCGCACGCTTTGCTAAACAACAACAGAAAACCAAACCGAAACGAATCGAGTCGCTCTTTTTAACCATGTTGGAACGGAAGTTGGGAGCGGGAGCATTTGTTGTTTTGGCTTAAAATAAATATAATTAAATGTAATTTTTATAATGACAAATGCTTTGTTGTCTGCGGCGCGCCCTCACCGAAAGGGGAAGTTGGTCTGGGCAATTATTTCCGAGCTTTGAGCACAAAAAGCCCATTAACAAAAACCGAAACGAAATCAAAAATTGTGTATCCCAAAGAGCCGCAACGAAATCTAGATCAGCTCGAAAGTTAAGGTTTACAGATCAATTTCGATGGCTGTAAAAAAAATCCAAAATTGTATCTTGCCCGCTGGCAAAGTCGATTTGCCTGCTGTTCGCTCGATTAGCCTCTCGATTTGATGGAGGGGGGCTAAAGGCCCAGTCCCTGAATCAGTCGAGATCCATTGTAAAAGATAGAAGCACACACACGCGAGCTAATAGATGCACGCCCACGATCCTCGGGGGCATTAAGATGATGATGATCAGCTCGCAAACGAGTTTTGCCATAAAAATAAAGATGATTTTGGCCAGATCACTTGTCAGCAACTGAAATCACAATTAGCATTGCTAATGCGTGAGGATAGACAAAGCCCAAAGTACTCGGATCTGTAAGTACGCTGCAAGTATCTGCAGCTCCCACGTGTTCCGCTTATTTAGATTGTTGCGCATTCCGCTCGTTGACAGCACTTGAGATACACGAAATGTTATAGATACACTCGTTCATCTCTCGCCTCAGATGCAAATGCATCGTGTTTCGTGTCAAATGCCCAAATTTGTCAACAGCCCCTCATCACCATGATGATGTTGATGATAATAGTGGTGGCTATTACTCTCGAGGAGCTCGGAATTGGATGAGCTGACACGCCTAGTGGCACTAGAATAACAATTCGTCTCCAAAGGCCAAGTGGTTCTGGCCATAAAATGGGGAAAAAATATATACCCACTGTCATTGTTATTGCCCTACACTCGCATTGCGACTCAGTTGCATAATTAATATTTAATAAGACAAGTCGAAAGGCATTGCCAAAAAGTTTTCTCGAGTGAAGTATTCTGTTTCTCAGGTTCCTTTCTACTTTATATATAACCTCTTCTTTATACACTTGTCTACATTCGCAAATTTGATGAACTCTTCGGTTTTGGGTTGGTTAGCTAGTATAATAAGGAAGTTCGTAATCCTTTATATTTTCAATTCTATTTAGTTATGTCATTTAAGAAAATATCTGAAAGGTTTTTTTGGATTATAATAATAAATATTCAATAGAATTATTCTATTCGGTTATGTAAGAGCCATTCCTTAAGAACATTCCCTTTGCCTGTCCAACCATCTGGCATTTAATCTTCAAGTTCTCCGTTGAGTTTGACTTGTGAAACACTAATTTATACTTGGCCCGTTCCAAGGTTATTTCTGCAGGGCATGATAAGTTCGGTTTGCTCTACAAGTTCTCCCACCCGAATGTTTGTTTTCGTTTTCAACTTTTCCCTGGCCAAAGAGACAGAGACTGAGAGGAAGTCTCGGTTTTGGCTCGTTGCGATGCTTATGTGCCGCATATATTATGATGCTCGAGCAACATTTTTTATAACTTGGCATGCTCCAATTCTTTGGCGCAAGAGCCCGGCTCATGGCTCACGGCAGCCCGTCTCTATTTGCCATCGGCAGGGGGATTGGCGGTGGAAACTTGAGGATGAACCATTCCGACTGTGTGCGCAAGTATCTACGAGATAGTTTGTTCTGGCCAACTTTTTCTCCGCCTTGCCTTTGGCTTCGAACCTCTCTTTCTATATATGTATATATTCGGCATCTCTATACAGACATGAATACAAAAAGAGAAGAGTGTACTTCCTTCGTTTTTCTGAAAATTACAAAATCCATTAAGTTGCTTGCACGCAACTTAAACATAAATCCATCATACGCCATGTGGCACACATACAGAGAGGCAAGGACAAGTTGCAAGTGGTGGGTGGTGGATGGTTGGTATAGTATAGTATGGTATAGGTAGCACATCCATACCATATAGCATGCACTAGGCACGCCCACTAATGCGCCTCCCCTGCTCTGCTGATTCGGCTGCTTTTATTATCCACGCCATATTTAATGCACAAACATTCAGACACTCGAGTAGGTAAGTAGGTTGGGCCCAGTCTACGTCGACATCTATATCTTTGGCTCTGTATTCTGTGCCCTATACCCTGTACCCTGTACCTCTTTCCTTTTCTTCAGCCTGCCAGGCTTTCAATTTAATTTCCTTGCCTCGTCTGACTGACGAACTTTGTGCTTACACTTTTCTCTTCAGCTCTTCGATACTTTCCAATTTGCTTTCAATAGACGACGTAATCCCCCTCCCCCTTTGATGGGTTGTGTATCTTTTAGCTGATAGCTTGAGATACCATAAATCATAGAACCGATTACGCCAAATTGCAAACGTTAATGTAATAAAACCTCGGACCCAAAATTGCCAGCGGAGAAGAGCGATGTGGGAAAAGTAAGTCTCACGTCTTGGGAGAATTGAGCAAAGAAAGACGGCAAGACAATAGACACACTCAGTCTGCAGAATCTAGTTCAAAAGTTCAAGCGAAAAAGCGGAGATTGAAAGACACCAGAAGACACGATCACAGAGAAAGGGAGTTGGAGTCGGAATGAGATTGCTTTTTTTTGGGGGGCTTCTGTTTTGGGCCAAAAGTCTGAGACCCATTTCAGGGTATTTATAGCAAGGTCCAGCAATGAGCTAGCTGCGGTTACCGAGAATGCCTTTTGCCAGTTGCCACATTCACAATCAAAGCGTAATGCCAACTTGGCCAGAAGACCGCAAATCAAACGGCAGGCATCAATGTGCATCAATGATTTTCATTCGAGTCGGTGACAAGTAGTTGGGGCAAAACAATACGGTACGATTAAGGTGAGGAACTCAACCCTGGCCAAGGCAATTTTGTAACCGCACCAAACGAACGAAACTAGAACCGATGACAAATGTTCTGACGCCTGACAAATGCCATTGTCGACGTCTCCATCATCATCAATGTCGAGACTCCTCCCATGGCCCTTCTGTAACCACAATCTCGGGCTCTTCCATTAGCATTCGCAATTAATTTCCATCTGTGCTGAATTTTTACAAATTTCTAAGCCAGCCCAGGGAAACAAAAAGCCATGAAATGCGAAAAAAATCCAACACAAATCGCTGGGGAAAAATCTCTAAGCCTCGGATGTATATATAACTTTATATGTCCCTCTATATACACTGTTTTTTTATTATTATTCCTCCAACTGAGGCTAATTAACATTAATTTTGCATAATTAAAGCAAGCAGAGCGACAGAAGCCAAAAACAATAGAAAAAGAGACCGAAAGTGGGGGGGGGACCGGAAAACCTCCATGAGTAAGCAATCCCCAGATTGTCTGTCAGTGGGTCAGTGTCAAGGGTTTCCCTCGAGAAGCGAACAAGGAAAAGCTTTCCGGCCAACTCAATTTATATTAATTTCCTCTGCAAGAGATGAAGAGATAAACCCACATTTGATTACTCAATTATTTGGCATAAATTAAGAGTATTGTTCAACTGTTGGCCTTTTGCAAATCCCTGCAAGCCGCAAAAATTTATGAAAAGCCAAGACGATTTGTGGTTAATGTTTGACAATCAAGTTGGTGAAGTTGTGGGCGAAATAATTGAATTTGCTTGGAGTCCTAGTGTAATGTTAAGAACACTTCAGGGTTAAGGTATATTTGTGTTCCAAAAAAATCGTACTAACAGCTAGCTTCCCCTCCGCGACTATGACCACGATTAAGAAACTGTTTTAGCATTGGTCCGTCTCCATAAAATAATTAAAAATGCAAAAGATAATAGGATCCAACGTCTAAAGCGGAATGAAAAACTCAAGTTATGGAATCAAGAAGTTCTGCTTTGGCTAAAATTTTACCTTCTTATAAAAGAAATATTGAAGTAGAATATAAAGAATTCAAACAAAATCATAGAGTTATCCCACGTCAAATCGGGATCCAATTACCAAGTACTAAAAGTTTTGGGTCTCATTCAGGGTGCCATTGAAATATGGAAAATTTTACATGAAAATGGGTTAAAATTTCGACCCTCGTTTAATACAGAATTTAAATGTAGAATATCAGGAAACTCAACCACAAATGCATAGAGGCATCCCACGTCTTAATCGGGGTCCAATAACTCAAGTTATGGGATTTGAAAGTGCAGTTTTTGGGTTCTTATTCAGGGTGCCATTGGAAATATGGAAAATTTTGACATGAAAATGGGTTAAAATTTCGATACAGAAATTTAAATGTAGAACATTAGAAAATTCAACCACAAATTCATAGAGGTATCCCACGTCTTAATCGGGGTCCAATAACTCAAGTTATGGGACTTGAAAGTGCAGTTTTTGGGTTCTTATTCAGGGTGCCTTGGAAATATGGAAAATTTGACATGAAAATGGGTTAAAATTTCGACCCTCGTTTAACACGATATTTAAATGTAGAACATTAGAAAATTCAATTTCAAACTCATAGAGGTATCCCACGTGTTAATCGGGGCCAATAACTCAAGTTATGGAATTTATAAGTGCAGTTTTTGGGTTCTCATTCAGGGTGCCATTGGAAATATGGAAATTTTGACATGAAAATGGGTTAAAATTTCGATACAGAAATTTAAATGTAGACCATTAGAAAATTCAATTACAAACTCATAGAGGTATCCAACGTCTTAATCGGGGTCCAATAACTCAAGTTATGGGATTTGGAAGTGCAGTTTTTGGGTTCTCATTCAGGGTACCATTTGAAATATGGAAAATTTTGACATGAAAATGGGTTAAAATTTCGACCCTCGTTTAATACAGAAATTTAAATGAAGAATATTAGAGATTTCAATTACAAACTCATAGAGGTATCCCACGTCTTAATCGGGTCCAATAACTCAAGTTATGGAGTTTAGAAGTTCCGGTTTTGGTTCACATTCTGAAAGCCATTGGTATTACGGAAAATTTAAATATGAAATGGGTTCAAAATTTGAACTTCAACTTTTGACCCTCGTTTAAAAGAAAAGTTAAAAAATAAATAAATTAATTTAAGATTCTGCTGGGTTAGATGAGGTTTGATAACTTACAGAATGTACTAGTTTTTGGCAACCACTGTATAAAAATGTGAGTACGTCTAGCTACTTCCGCTTGGCCATTCAGCAAAGTACTCTCCTCTGTGCATTTCTGAAATTGCCTCGAATTAAGCGCAAAGTGCGTGTGCGTCTTCAACTGTTTGCTGCTCTTTCTTTTTCATAAATTGCGCTTTGTTTATCATGCCGCCCGTCCCGCCCCCTGACATGCCCCCTTCTGTCCCCTTTAAGCAACCATTCATCGCTGACCCGGCTTGGGAATGATGTCATTAATTAATGTGAATGAGTTCAGTATGATGTCAATTAGCTTCGGAAAGCGCACTTGGAGGCAGAAGCTGAAGCTGAAGCATCGGCTCAGCAGGCAAAGTGCATTGGGTAATTTGTTATTGGACGGAGAGCCACCCACACACATTGGGTATCCACCAAACAGCCACATACACTGACACAAAATGCCCCACTCAGATACAAAATAAAATTGCAGACAGACAAACTGGCGGCTCAAATAAGTCCGGAAGCTCTGGAGATTCCCTTCTTTTATCCCCTCGATTATCATAAGCAGCTGCTCTGAGCTTAGGAAAAAGAAGTTGAAAGCTTTATCTTCGGCAGGCAGAAAACTTTGGCCAAAAGTACTTAACAATAGTTAAGACCCACTCGCAATAGCCACTAAAAAAAAGAAGGCTGGCATAATCATTAAAACTCGACGCCCAATGAAAAAGCCAAGACCAGAAATATAATAACACTAAGTAAATGCAATAAAATGAAAATCCAACTGGGGAAATTTCGCCATGATTTATTATTGTTGCCGAACAAAAAGTAGTACAGCAAAAACGTAGCACGAAAACAAAAGTAAAAGGCATTATGCAGATCAAACTCAATGGAAAAGTTTTGTTAGCTCTGCGCTTACTTACGAAAACAAGCTTTGTTCCTTTTTGGGGCACAAAGAACTTGGCTTTAACTCACCTGTAAAGATAAAAGAGAAAGACTCATTAGTTATTTGTTTATTAAGAATTTTTACTTAATTCGCTAGATAAACTAATCATATATTTTAAAGTTTTTATTTCGTAACCCTATACTTTATAGCTACTTAAATAAGTTATTAATGAAGCGAACGAAATATGGAATTGATTTATGGCTTCCAAAAAGCATAAATTATAATTTTCATTTAACGATTTCTTTGAAGCCGTACAGAGTAATATTTACAACTCATGAAAAATCAATTAAAATTTACTTGGAAGAGTCAGAGAAGAAATCTCTAAATTTAAATGGTTGTTTATCTAACACAGAAGCCTCATAAATTTCTACTTGGCAAGATTGAAAGTTTTGAAAGACCAACTTAGATTTGTTCCCCTTTGCAAGTCAAAATTGCATGTTCCAGACAAACGATTGGCTATCGAGTGTGGTCATTGATTTTGGGCCTTGTTTTTGCTGCCCTGGCCAATTGTTGCCACAATTTGTTAATGCAAAAAGGCGAAAGGCAAGAGCCCCATTTCGAGTTTGGGTTGTGATTTTGCGGTATGTGTTTGTGCAGCGAAGGCGAAACAATTTCTGTGGTCAAGAGCCTTTCACCAAACTAGAGGAACAAAAAGAGGGAAGAATTGAGTGCGGTCCGAGTTCATAGCTCATGAACTCCCTTTTCCACAGATAGCCACTTTGGGGCTGGTCATGTTTTTTTTGGCCCGACGAAATCTGTAACTGAGCCCCTTTTACTCTTCGTTTTCCCCCTGACCTGAGAAATTTGTTTATCCCTGCTTCGCTCTTATCCCCGTTTAAACAATGTGCTTGGATTTTCTTTTCCCTGACTTTTTGGGGTTTCCCAGTGGTCGGAAATGGGAAATAAATGGTAAGTGAGACCTGCAATCAGCTTGCATTCCTATCTGTCAATGGGAAATCAGTCAGTCAGGGCTACAAAAATGTATCCATCAAGAGGAAATACATATCTAGCTATAGATACAGGAATATCTCAAAGTGTTTTGCTGTCTTTGCTAATGATGTGCAAATACAGGGATAGAAAATAAAGAATGGGCCAGAGAAAAATATATAGAAAGAGAGGTGACAGATAAGGAAAGCCAGATAAATCAGCCTGAGCGAATTCTCAGTTTCTGGGCCCTTTGCCAGCAGCTGCATTCCTCAATTAGCTTCTAGCCAGAAAGAGAGAAAGAGAGAGAGCGACAAAATGTAGAATGTAGAACGGGGTGGAGCAACCCACACATAATAAACTAAGTGACAACCCTTGAACAAAAACCCAAGCGATATTTACTTATAAGCAGCTCAAACTTGGTATCCGAATCCCTTTTATCCTCAACTTCTGGTTTCCTTCGATATTTACACATGATGTTTTGGTGCAGAGAGAAAAATATTTATTTTATAGCTTGAGATATGACTCACTAAGTGTTTTAATAATCATCACCCACATAAATGCCTTGACACAGGTTGAGTATTATTTAAATTCAGAATAATAAAGCTCAATAATTTACTATTAGTAGGCTTAAGCATATAAGGCCTAACGATTATAATATGATTGATGATATGATTATTTATATTAATAATATTTTTAGGAATCGTTAAGGATCTTCTGGCGAAATATTTTTTTCTCTGTGGCTACCTGTTCCGAGTTCTCATGGGGTGGCAGCTTTGCCTGATTGGGGGTGTCTGGGCTCCTGCACACACACTCGCATTCGCACACAGACTGTTCAAGTCTCGGATTACATGCTGGCAGCCCTTTTTTTGATGGATGGATGGGCGCATTCTCTACCTTTTCCCTTTCGCTTATTTACTTAAATAAGAACACAGAAAACTGGTTGTCGCCGCCGGAGTGAAGAATCATGTGAGTGAGCCAGGAGATACGCGGCGAGGGGAAAGCGGTTTTCGGGGGGGAAGAACAAGTGACAGTTGGCACGGAAGTGGTTTTGATTTAATGCCGCTTGGCGCTGAATGACGCAAGATAAACAGATGCTACCCAGCGAAGAACAGGTGTCGACAGGTGAGAGAAGAAGCGCGAAAAACATAAATGAGAGAGAAGAGGGAGGATGAGAAAACGTCGATTAATATATATCTTTAATGGGTATCGTAAAAGGAGAAAAGGCAGCTTACTATAAAATCAAGCTTATATCTATACAAACAATCAATTTCATATCAAGTTCAGGAAACTTAACTTACTTAAATGTTGTTTTTAGTTGTGAAATCATCGAAAAGCTAAATTTAACTTTACTCAATTTTCTCTGGGTGTTCAAGGGCTAGATAGATTTTAAACCAACATTGTGGGATTGACTTTCCTTCTCCCTAGGAAACAATTCACGCAATTTTGATTGTTCGTATGCGGTTTATCTAATTTGTAATTGCTACCGAAAACGAAATTCCAAGCCGGAGAAATACTCAACCACAAAACACAATCACCGTAACGAAGGGCGAGGGCTTAAGGACCGAGGACTGATGGGGAATTTGGGAGAGTACCGGAAAATATCAGCAGACGAAATAAATCCCCCCACTGGGCATACTTGTGGCTTATTGGCAATCAAATTGGGAACAGAGCTCGTGTCTTAGCCAGGGAAAATTGAGGCAGTGAGACTGTGGAAACAGGCCGAGGAACGCAGACTGGAGTCTCAGCTGATTAGCATAATTGACTTTGTGTTAAATTTAGCATTTAATTAATGTGGATGCAGTGCAAGCGAGAAGGTAGCAAATAATTATGGAGAAGGTGGAATGTATCGTTAGGGCGATCCCTAACCATGGAATCGATTTGCAAGCCCAGAATTAGGGAAACACCAAACGCCCAGTAGTTTCGGCCGATTGTTGGGCAAACACATGTGCTCCAATTCCAAGCCCAAAACTCTCTTAGCTCGCCGGCACTTGAACAAAGCCTGGCCATAATTGACTTTTCCACCAGCAGACGCCGGCAGGCAAGCCACAACCACTTAACACCTCCCAACCACCCACAAACAAAGCGAAGGCGAAGGAAAGGCGCTCTAGAAAACTTTGGGCCAGGCCAACCCCTCGGCAAAGCACTTAACATGTTCATCAATTGCGCCCGCCCCGCCCACTGCCACCCGCTTTTCCGGCCCAGAGCCACACAGCAGACACCCGACAAAGTGTCCCGGCTTACAGTGAAGCCTGCAAATGGGACAGGGCGGTAGTCTCCCGGGGGAACAGGGGTTGGGCGTATCTGAGCAAGCCAAAACAATGCAACGCTCCAAACCAAGAAGCAGAAGCCAGAAATCAGTAGAGAGCGTCGTGAAATTGTTTGGCGACAGGAAGGCAGCCAAGAAAAGTGGAACACATTTGGGCACTGAGAAAAATAGTAAGTATTATAAAATAAATATTATTAATCTTAAGAAGCCTTTAGATGAGAAATATCAATTTATTTACTGGGATCTTACTTAATATGATATCTTCTGAAGGTAAACTAAAACATTATGACTAGAACCAGTTGGGAATTGCAAGATAGTTATAAGAATTTACTTATAAATACAAAATATAGCAATATTTTTAATAAATATAGATTTCTGATGTTTGTAGATTATGTTTTATAATGTATTATATACATTTTTGTAAATATTGTTTTCCCAGTGCAGCGTAAAGGGAGTTGGCTGACATCTAACGCCTACGCGAGAGCCACCGTAATTTGTTAGATGGGCCACGCCAAAAGCCAAAGCCAAGTCAAGGCCTCAAGATGTTCGGGTTGTAATTCAAGCAGAGCTTGAAGAAGAGGAGTCTACGATGTAGGCGATCAAAAAAATCTGGCAAGCTAACTTTGGTCAATGTCTAGACAAGAATCTTAGCTAATGAATGTCATCGCAAAGAACTAGTTAAACCAGTTTAAGGAGCAATCGAGGCTTAAGAATGGGGAGATGAAAAACCGCGGATGGCCCTTTCAGCTATTTAAAGAATCACCCATGGGCACTTCATTTTAATGCCATAGATGAGATGTGTTACGAATTTTTCTTCAGGCCATTTGTGCTGAGTAATAGGAACCAGTTTCTGAGAATTAAAGATATTTATACATTTACATTTCTCACATTTTTCGCATTGCATTTATTGTAACTTTTATAGTAGGGGTTACTTTAAATACTTTTTAAATTACCCTTTACAATAATTTCAATTCGAATTTTAATGAAGTGACTAAATGCATATAGGATTGTATTTATTTTTGTTTTTGGTTAATGATCCATTTCTTTTTTTTAAAACCAAAATAACCAAATACCAAGTATATGTTATAGTCATTTAACCCCTTTTTTTGAACAAGTCATTTTGGCGGGCTAAACTATGATTAATTTGCGTTTTTGGCCGCACACGCTGAATGCTGGGATGACAGAAAGCTGGAAGGTTTCTTCACTCAGCGCGGTGTCAAAGTCAAATGGGACTCGGTTCAAGTTGATGAACATTTGGTCGAAGTTTATGCAAATGACCAGTTGTTGTAGTAGCTGCATAAGTATCCGCATAATTACCCATAATGAGTAGAAAATGGAAAGTATACGACGAGTGGGTTAAGTAAACTGTGGTTGAATGACCAAGGCGATTGGAGGAGCTGAAGTAAACAAAGTTTTTCTTCGATTGGCGGCATTTTCAGTGAAGCATATATATACATATAGATAACTCGAGGTGTAAACGGATACAGAACTTTGGTAGTGGGGTAGTGGTACTACAAACAGTTGCGCAAATTTGCATGGCGTCAACAGGTGGCTCGCTGGCAAGTCGAAGCGCGAAATCTATTTATTTAGTTACACATTTCGCTTTTGTTTTCTCGTCGACTTGCTTTCAACTTGAGCCAGCTCGAGCGTGTTTCAATGTTTCAACTTTATCCACTAGGTTCGCAGTTTCCAAGACTCTTACTTCTTGGCTCCGGCAATGTCAGTTCACTCAGCTGCAGGCTGCACTTCACTTCTTCGGCTGAAAGTGGAAAACCACTGCTGCTGCAGTTCAAATGCAAATTCAAATGATGCAACAAACAGTCAAGCTCAGCAGAA